ACACCGTCCAACCGTTGCGTAACATCTGTTCCGTAGCGGTGGTATGACCGGCTAATACTCTTTCAGGCCAGCTTAGACCAGCGGACCGAGTGGAAACACTTGAGTCCCCACGATTAAACCGACCTTGTGTCACAACCTGACTCAGTGGCGGGTTTAGGTAAATCTCGGGTTGACAAGCAGTAGAAAATGAATCCGTTAATCAAGCAAAACGTTACAATTAACAAAAATTCATCTGAACATAAGACAAAAACAACAATCAACGATATGAATTCTTTAAATAATTCATTGAACATTAACAAGAATTTTTTTACAAAGAATCTTCACATTTAAAATGAGGAAAGTCTAAACGATTCATTGAATATTAACAAGAACTTTATTTACATTATTCGGACTATTGTCCTCATCTTTGTCGCCATATTTATTACAACGTTTCGGCCGTTGTACGCTCCGGCCTTCTTTAGGTGGTTTATCCACTGTGCCATGTGTCCTTGAGGACACATGGCACAGTGGATAAAGGCGTTGGTTAGATCCAGTGACAGGACCCAAAGAGTGTGAGTTCAATACCCGGTTAAGGCAGTGGAGAACTTTCAGAGAGAAATTAACAGGAGATAACTGATAACTGACATCCATCAAACATGGCACGTGGATCTAGAACAGTCTACCCCAGTGAGCGAAATAAAGGGTTCAGTTCGACATTCCAAGAGCGTACAACGACCGAAATGTTGTAATAAATATGGCAACAAAGATGAGGACAATAGTCCGAATAATGTAAATAGTGTACATAAACCTCATCTCAGAAATATAGACAGCTAGTGAAAGGCCGAAACGTTGTAATAAATATGGCAACAAAGATGAGGACAATAGTCCGAATAATGTAAATAATGTACATAATACCACATCTCATAGACAGACTAACAAGAACTTATCTCAAAGTTTCAGACAAAAACAACAATGAATATGTGACTACTTATAAAAATTTAATATTCACAGACCTTATAACGTCTGAAAAAACATAACAATATCTTTTTCGTTCTCCATTGAACAATATCAGAATTATGTGAGATCCAATGAAGATCAAAATCAGTCCAGTAGTAATTGTCTTCAAAACTATCTTGCTTCAAGCCAATATTCCCAGAACTTTTTTTTTCTGTTTTCTGTTTAATTCTTCCTTTTCTTCTCCTTTTCGATCTTCCCTCTACATCAATTCCTTCATGTATCTGTTGATTTTTCTCGTATTTCTCCATATCAGTGAATTTTTCATCTATAATTTTTTTTTAGCGATTGCTCGCTAATAGCAAACTTCAGTTATTCGTTTGAAAGCAACGACGTTTATTTACTGAGCTTTTTCGTTTATCATTGCTTTTATTGCTTGTATTTTGTTTGTATTTTCTTACCTTCGGGAGTCGAAGTTTGTTGTCTTCTTTATTTGACGCCATCTTATCTGTTTCTTCTGTCTATTCGTTCGCCAAATAAATATATATAATTACAAGTTACAACCTGTAAAGACCGTTTGCAACCTGCCTCCGGTAAGATCTCACTGACGCCACACACACACACACACATATATATATATATATATATATATATATATAAATATATATATATATATATATATATATATATATATATATATAGAGAGAGAGAGAGAGAGAGAGAGAGAGAGAGAGAGAGAATGGATATTCTTGCAAGATTTCTATTTGTTATATTTTTTAATCTAAGTACTTTGGGATTCGATCTTTGGAATTATTTAACTCCACGCATAAAATCTTTTGTAAATGAATAATTAATAAGCCTTTAATGATTACTACAACTAAGCCTTGTAGGTTTTAAGAATTCTGAGCCAAACTCCAAAAAAGACATTTTCATATAAAGCGACGAAATTTAGTAGATATTTTGTGTGACACCAATAGTACGAGATTACGATCAATGCAAAAAAATTTTTATGAAGGTTTAGACATTACACCTGTCTGGCTTCGTGGTGCCAAATGTTGTGACACTCTTCGGAAATGTATCAACCTTTTGCATGTTACTGTATATCGAAACATTCTTCCAGAATATAACAATATGTTCTATGGTAATATATGACTAGACAATATTCGAGAATGTAGTAACTATAATACTGTATGTCAAGACACTCTTCAGCAATGTAACAACCGTTTGTATAGTACTGTATGTTTCCAAATATGTTCTACACATTCACAAATTGACAAGATGTAAAAAAAAAACAAATAAATTTATAAGCTCACCTATTCGCTTTACTAATTCGTTTTCTACGACTTATCAACCCTTTGCAGGCTATTTAAAGCCAGAAAACATTTTTGGATTGCAAGAATTTTTTGTTCTAGATAATAATAGTTTAATGATAAAAGTCTTATGAATTAACCCATAGCTGGACTTCTAGATTCATACATTTTCGAAGGGTATATAACGAAGCAAAGAGGAACTGGGATTCGATCCCAAGCCATTACACCACCCGCACATCCAAGCTTACGGCAATTGGTATTCCCAAGCTGTCACCCATCTAGGTACTGACCAGGCTCGACGTTGTTTAACTTCGGTGATCTTATGGGGAGCGATGTTTAAAAGTAATGTAGCCGTAAGCGCTATGTAAGTAATTAATAGGATATTTGGATCAATTAAGTTTCCTCTTGTAAATAGAGAAAGCTACAAATTGAAACTGTTCTTAAGTAAAAATCTATACTTATTCCAGATTGTATTTGATGTGATGCGAGATGAATTAGAAGTTCGTCTCTAGTGTTAATTATGTAAACTAAATTTAGATCAATATCAGCATGTTTAACATAGCATAATATATATATATATATGTATATATATATATATATATATATATATATTGACTAATTTACAAACATTATGTCTGATTATTTATATAATAATCAGTTCATAGTCATGATTATTTTCCGTGGCAAGAAATGCTCTGTTCCAGTTATGTGCAAATAATCCATGGTTTGGAGTGACAATTATTAAGTCACCAAATTTCATTTCAGTTTCGTATTTTCCTTCCCAGGTATTTAAATTTTGGTATTTTCGTATCTCCGATTTGTAATTTGCATTTTGGGTACATCCTTTTGTTAACAACCATGCATTATGTCTTCCTGTATATGATGTTTAATCCTTTCTTCTCGCTTTCCTTCACTAACTTCTGTAAAAGTTTTTATAGTTTTCGTGTCTGCTATCAACATGTCATCTGCATACCTTATGGTGTTAAGATTCTGACCGCCAACAATGAATCTTGGTAGGATTTCTAATTCTCTCAGAATCGCCTCACCGTAGAGAATATATATATATACAGGGTGTCCATATATATACAGGGTGTCCATAAAGTTCCTGTGCACTTTAAGAAATGTATAATTTTATTTGTATTTACGATAGAAATAATTTGTAAAAAGGATTAGAAAGAAGTAAATCTATATTTTTTAACCTTTTATTGAAATTTTATTTAAGTTTTCACATGTCCTCCATCATTACCAATACAAAGGGTAATACGATTTTGCAGTTCACGGAAAACATTTGCCAACTGATTTACAGTAATGCCTGAAATCACATTAGTTATTTTAGCTATACTTAAAACTAGGTACATTAAACTTTATAACATTTTTTACAGATTATTTCTATCGCAAATACAAATAAAGTTATAAATTTGTTAAAGTGCACCAGAACTTTATGGACACCCTGTATATCAATATATATATATATATATATATATATATATATATATATATATATATATATATATATATATATACTACTATTATTATTATTATAAAAGATTATAATAAAACATTTTACATCGCTACACAAAAGCTTTCATGTTTCAATACTATCATTGTACTTCCTCAGGCGATGGTTGGTAACTTGTGATAAAAATGATAATTTGTGATGAAAATGTTTTGTTTTTAAATTTCCCTAATAAATCATTTTTATTACAACTTACCAACCATCGCCTGAGGAAGTACAATCATAGTATTGAAACATGAAAGCTTTTGTGTAGCGATGTAAAATGTTTTATTATAATTTCTTATAATAAAATTATTATGATAATATTTTTCTCTACCTTGTATTGAGCACTTTTTTAAAAGTAAATGCTACAGACTGCATTTTTACTACATTTGTTCTTATTTAGTATATATATATAAATATATATATATATATATATATATATATATATATATATAGAGAGAGAGAGAGAGAGAGAGAAGGAGGGAAGGAGAGAGTGACTGAGAGTTAACGTATAATTTGTTTTTGTTTCATGCGTAAGTTCAAATGTCTTACCTCTTGTTTAGTTTTTTCTTTACAAAACCACAAATCCCGGGATTATTGAGCTCGCGTATTAATAAAGCATCGTCGATATATCGGAAATATGCTGATTTCTTTTTTCAGGATAAATATATTGGAAAAGGCCAATTTATAGAAATTTGAAGACAAGCAATAACAACTCTTTTTAACTTCTCCATTATCCTAATTATTGTATATTAGATGCTATGAATAAAGCTTACAAAATCAGCAAAAAATAAAAATAAGACAAATAGCTTTGATAAAACCAGGCACTTAATACTACTAAAGAGGCAGAAATATTTCGTTAGAAACAAACATAACTGAACTGTTATATGATATCTGTCCTCCTGTATGGCAGTGAATGCTGGACAGTCTCCTCAAAAATGAGGAAGAGATTTTAAGCAACAGAAATGTGGTTTTACAGAAAGCTGCTGAACAACGACGAGGTTTTGGAGAAAATGGAAACAAAAAGGAAACTTATACTTAACATCATGAAGAGACAGTTGAACTTTCTGAGGCACATATTGAGGAAGTGGACTTGGAAAATTTGGTAGTAGACATATTGAAGGCAAGAGGGACAGAGAAAAACAACGCATAACATACTTAGTGAGCTTGAGTCAATGGATGGCCGAACTTGGTTTAGGAGGAATAGCAAAAAAAACAAAATTTATTAAGAGCTACAAAAGACAGGAAATTGTTGAGCGCCATGAAGGGACGCCCTGAAGGGACACGACACATAAAAAAGAACTAGAACTAGAATTACTGTCTCTTTCAAGTCTGTAGTGTACTGTGTGATTTGAACTTAAAAATTAAATCAATGTAATCTCTTTGGTTGATGAAGGTAAAAGAGGCCTCGAAATAACATTCAATGCCAAATATATCACATACAGTTTTTTTACCTATAATTATATCGTGGCGTTCGCATGGTCTAGTGATTTTCTGTTTCAAATATATAAATACAATGGCATCAATATGGCCATCTTTATAAAACTCGACAAAATAACCTAAATCTGCCATACAGTTCTTTCCGACGTAATAATACCAGTGGCAAATGGACCAATCACAATAGCTGACTTCTCTGTAAGACACTGAGTGCAAAGTATATTCTAGCTTAGTCTGGAGTAAGAAACATACTAAAGACAATAAGTTAATTTGTTAAAAGAAATAATCTAATGCTTTATCAGGATAATGCATACGTTTAAATCATTAGTTTAGCGTATTTATCAGGGATTGTCATTCAGTTCCCCATTTAATCAGATCTTTAATTGAGTGACAGAAATGACTTCAACTCGGAACAAATTTCAACTCGGAATTAATTTCAACTCAGTTTAAAATGAAAGTTATCAATTTCCGTGAATTCCTAAAAAAATGCAATCAGTGTTAACTTTTTAATTAGGCATTAGTTCCGAGTTGAAATTAGTTCCGATTTGAAATTAGTTCCGATTTTAAATTAATTCCGAGGTGAAATTACTTCCGCGGTGAAATTAGTTCTGAGTTGAAACTAGTTCCGAGTTTAAATTCATTCTGCACCTCAATTTGTTCCGAGTTGAAATTAGTTCCGAGTTGAAATTAGTTCCGAGTTGAAATTAATTCTTCATCCCCTTTAATTAATTCCCTATGTTAAACAAAAATAATTACCTATTGTGAGCAGTTGAAAAAGATAAAAATAACTTTAGAGAGAATAAGACTGTTAAGTGATACGAGTTATCTCCCTTAAGCATGGGAAGTGTAATGAAAGCCGTCTACCCGTTTGCACTGGATAAACGGGATTGATTAAAAATTCCAAAAAACTTACCGAGAGCGAAGACAATTGAAGAAAGTCCCACAATCAAAATGAAGAGACGTTCAAATAGAAAAGCCTATTATAAACAGGCAGCTTATTTAATTTATAAATTTCTCAGTGACATTTAGCACACCATGGACAAAGAGATGCTCAATCTTTTTTTTTTTTTTTTTACAATGATTCTCACCAGTACAAGGCTCAAAAACCACTTGAGGCAGAGGATTAAAGAGTCAGACACACAGTTTACGACGATACGTTGGGGAAGGTAACGGTTAATCCTAGACTTGAACAGGTTAAGATTGTAGTGATCGGGGAAGCATCTACTTGGGAGTCGGTTCCATCTTCGATATATGCCACGCCTGTTCAGCACGTATGTCCCTTCAGCAGATTTATATGTTATCTGCTAATTGTCAAGAGAAAAAATCCTGGAAAAATAGTAGAGTGATTTCTTTCACTAAAACTGGCTGCCAACCAAGACTGAAAAGCCGAATCAAACATTCATTTAATCTATTGAAGATGAGAAAAAAACATTAATGCATTCTTTCCCAAAGAGATCTGTGAGAAAGTGAATGCAACGGTCGAGGCAAAAAGTTGAACACGGGTCGTCGACTTCACTTTCCATGCCAATGACCGTTACGTTACCGGCACATCCATAGAAACCCGGAAGTAATATTGCCGCTATCATATATCCTGGATTTGATCAATTTGTTAGCTTTTTACAGATTATCAACCCTGTGTGGGTTATCTAATGCTGAAACCTATTTTGGATTGAAAAATATTTTTTCGACTTCATATTGTATCATTTTTTTTTCATAACAATGATTTATTTTCAAATAAATGTCACATTATTTAACCTATAGATGGAGAGAAGAGATGGATCAATAATTTTCCCAATATTTTCGTGTAAATGATTTCCAATTTCAAGCCTATATATTATACCACCTGTATATCCTGGCTCTAAAATTGCTTTTCCCAATTATTATTTTTTCCCGATTATTATTATTTTTTTTCAAATGCTCTCATTGTTTTTCTTTCTTTCTTTTTTTCAGTCATAACTTAATCAAGAATGGATTATGTTCGACCCTGCTGACAGTAGAAAACGACGTGGTTTGGTAGCAGTCCAAGCTTTGGGTTACCAGTCACAAGAACGCTACCGAAGAGAATCTATTCCAAAATCAGGAATAACGGTCAAAAGACAGAAAAATACCGAATTCCGAGAACTCTGATTTGTTGGAAATGAAGGCGAAGTTCCAACATGCCGGTGCTTGGTCAAGGCTTGAAATGAAGCCTTTTAATACTTCTTGGATATTTCGATACGCTTTTAGCATGTCCCTATTCCAATCAATGCTTCATTCTTCATGGTTAACGTTCAGTTCGTCTCTTCCGATACTGATGCTGGGACGTGCAAAAATGTCTCCAAAAACTCTGGTTCGTTTATTAAGGAATGGACCCTCATCGAAGACTCGCAACGCGAACCTCAATGTTTCTTGTCTCTATTTCCTCTTGCTTCTATGGAATCTTCCGTTATTATCTGCCTCATTACCGTCATCGCCGTCGGCGTCTCCGTCGTCAAAGCCGAAGACATCTGACGCCGCCGCTTGTCTGACCGAGGTTGACTACATGGGCATTTATGCCGTCAACTGCAGTAACGGCGGACTGAAGCGAGTCCCCCAGGATTTGCGTGCCAATTTGTGGACGCTGGATTTGAACCACAATCGAATCTTTCTCGACATTCCCGTCATGCAATTCGCCAAATATGAGAGCCTTCGAAAGCTGTTGCTGCGAAACAACTCAATCGCAGAGATTCACACCAACGCTTTCACAGGATTGGTCAGTTTGATCACACTGGATCTCCACAGCAACAAGATCACCGATGTCCCGACAGAGGCCTTACGTAGCCTGCCGGCTTTGCAAACCCTCATCTTGAGCGCCAATAGCATTCAACATATTGGAAAGGGGGCTTTCCCTGACCTACCCTATTTGGCCGAATTAAGAATCGACGGAAATCACTTGTTTATAGTTGATGACTACGCCCTGTCGAGCTTAATCAATCTACAGCACCTCAGTATACAAAACAACGCTGTAAAGACTTTATCAAATATGGTATTCCATAATTTTGGTCGTGGTCTCCTCTCGTTAGATTTGTACAATAACCCCTGGTTGTGCGATTGCCATATCCGTTGGATGAGAGATTGGATAATCAAACGGCAAATTCACTGGGAGAGTAATACAAAGCGACCCATATGTGCTGGGCCTTATACCAATAAGGACAAATACTTCACACTTGTACCAAGCCGTCATTTTGCTTGCAAAGTTATAATGTACTCAAGCGGTACGTCACTCACGTTGCAAGAAGGCCATAACGTTAGCCTTATCTGCAAGTTATACTCAGACCCACCAGCTGAAATTATGTGGTTACGTAACGAGGAAAAGGTAACCAGTGGTAATGGGCATTATGAAATCGCTGAGTATGGTGATGTCATTAAAAGCTTGGCACTTTTTATCAAGGGTTTCAGTAAGGAAGATGCCGGTTTATATAAGTGTCTTGCAAAGAATCCCATCGGGGTTGATTCGATAACTTACACCTTGAGTCTTGACGCGGACAATCCCAATAGATTGGCTCTTGAAATGGAAACACAAGGTTCAATATTCGGTGCTAAGGCAGCTATTATCTTCGCCGCTGTTGTTGTCCTTGTAATCATTGTTTTACTGACGATTTTGCTCGTGTTTCGACATATGAGAAACCAAAGGAAGCGACAGGAGAAAATCCGATTGACTATAGAAGATTTCTTTGACAAAAACGCTACTGCAGGACGTCAAGAAACGAAAATGAGGGGTCGCGCAAGTGACCAGATCGAAACCGGTGAGATGGACCCTCTTTATGAGACTGTGGCCAATGAAGGAAATTATGTGTCGTTTAAGTCTGATCCAGTCGACTCGGAGGACGTTTCCCAACTCTATTCGCCCAGCACTGTAACGACCCATATGAATGACTCACAGTCCGACTTAGAACCAAACAACGCATCCTTTTGGCTTTCAGAATCCGCCTCGCCCCTTCTTGGACCGGTATCGGATGATCAAAGCACCCCTCTGTATCAAAACAATAACAATAGTCATCACCTCAGTCTCAGGGGGAATAAACAGCGGGAAGTGCCACTGACAACCTTCCCCCGTACGGCCGTCGGGTCTTATTCCTCATTCAAGACTGGCTCCCCTCGTTTCGTAGCTTCTAACCGTCGTCACCCGAACAAAAATAACAATCGTCAATTGCAACAGCAACTGGCCAACGATCGACAGCAGTTCCACCAACATCACCATAACAAAAACAATAACAATAACAACAACAACAACAACGACGACGACGAAGAAGAAGAAGAAGAGGAAGAAGAGCATCATGTCGTTGTAGAAGCTGTCAACAACGACAACCAATTTCATCTCAGCAAACTGAACGGGAACAACAACAACAACAATAACAACAACATCAATAACAACGTCGGAGGAGGAGTTGGAAGCATTCGGCTGAAGAGCAACACACTGGGCCGCGATCAGCTGTTTTCCAAACTCTACAATAACAAGCAGAATCCGAATTTTGTATATAACGCGTCTTACTCGGCTTATGACCCGATCTATAACAAGCCCCCGTCGAAGGGGCAGCCGTATGCTTATACATCGCTACCGTGCGAAGCGGATTCGAAACAGAGTTTGTCGACCTACACCTCCCCGCAGTGCACGCCGAAAGACGAGAAAAACAAACGGTGCTCTTCACTTGGAAACGTCGGCATTGGAGACCTCGTCCCGCCAAGGAAGCCACCAAGGTTCTACAGCAGGTCGAGCATGTCCGCTCAATCAGCGGGGGATCTTGATGATCCGATTTCGTCTCCTTTGCCGGGATCCACCGATGAGTTCGGAACCGCCGTATGA